TATCTTTCACAAATCTATATGTACAACGTCTTCTAACATCTCAGAACTAATTATCACACCAATATCCTGATAAAACACTGATCGACGTTCTTACACGTAAAATTACATTACATTTCACATTACATATAAACACGAACAATTTCGAAAGAAGAGACACGATCACTTATACTTTATTTATTTTTCAATTCTCAATCATTATTCCTAACTCCATTTCAATTACTATACACCTATAATAATCAATATTTAATTGTCATATATATCTATAGTCATGAATCGCCAAACAACCATAAAAACAAAAGACGCATTTTTATGCGCGATCCGAGCGCTAATTAGATAGAAATTACTGGTAACCTGTATGCAGGAAAAACGTCGTGATCCAACTCGGCAACTTGTTTCACCGTGCTCTTCTTGATTGCAGAGGGCGTCAAGGCCAAAGTCTTTATCAGAGCGAAGCCGTTCCTGGCCCAAGGCCGCCGTTATTTGAGGCTGCAGCAGCTCAAGATGGACTTCAGCGTGCAAAACATCAGAATGGGCGTCGAGAACGTTCGCGACAGCAATTCGATAATACGTAAGCCATCGAAAAAAACTAATCGCATAATCTTCTCCGGTGTCCATTAATCGAAATATGTTGTTTTTTCGTCGGCCACATAAACAAGAGTTTCACCATAAATTATGCCGCCCGGACGACCAACGGTATACCATAAACGTCTCGTCGCGTTAATTTATTATAATCGCGAAATATCGTGGACGAATGACAATAAAATATCGCTCTTCAGAGAGACAGTATAATGTTGACGTTGGTGTAAACGCACGAATCGGGGGATTGCATCATGCGACGCGTAAAAAATTGGGGGAAAAACACGCGGCGACTAAAATTATACTTTACTATGCTTGTTTGATGCTTTATTTATATTATGCTTATTTGCTATGCTTATTATTTGCTATACTTTGCTACGCACACGCGACTCAAATTATACTTTATTACGCCTTAATTTTTCCATTTTATGTTACTAATATTTGGGCTTCTGTTCCGAATCATTGACAGAACAATGAAAAGAAAATGCAGCGTTTTAGGAACAGATTTTCTAAAAAAATACAATTTTTATTTCCAATTCGATTAAATCGAAGGATAATTTGAAGAGCGGCTGCTTCGAAACCGTGCAAAAAGCCGCGAACAACAAACCTTATAAAAAAAGATCCCAGTAAACGACAAGCCGCGCGTTCAATCGCATTAATTAATTAATTAATTAATTAACACTGACTTTCGCCCGCTTTTTATGCGCGACGCTCACCGGACTAACTTTGTTTTTTTTTTCTTTTTTCGGTGCGACTATCAGTTGCTGCACTGAACCTGTTCATTAACACGAACAGCCAGGAGCTGTTGAAAGAGATGAAACCAGATCTCAGACGGAAGTTGGTCCAAGTGATGACGACCTTCGTCGAGAAGATCTTCGCGCAAGTGCCGTACGACGCCTGGATCACCGATTAGGATCCGCGGCCGCGGCGGATCTCGCTTCTCGGCGATGTCATGGACGAATTCGCGCTCGTCGTGTTCTTTTTTTTTGGAAAGAAGACCTCGCGCTTCCATTTTCCAGCGATAGAACGGTCGACCTGGTAACCGGTCGCGACCACGAAAGTGATAAAGGGTTAATAGTTGATAGGTTAATAGGTTAATAGGTTAACATAATGACTCTTTGCACTCGAAGTCGAATTAACGCAAAATTTAAAATAGCTTTTTTGTGATCCACGGTTTTTCTATTTTATGCGACCTGGTGCATTCTATGCGCATGAAATTTAGGCAAATTTGATTAATTTATGATGAAATATTAATATTGAAGTATTATTAAATTAATAGTAATATTGAGATATTAATAAATTAATAGTAATGTTGAAATATTAATAAATCAATATTAATAGATCAATATTAATATTACAATATTAATAGATCAATATTAATATTACAATATTAATAGATTAATATAAAAATATTAATAAAACAATATCAATATTAAAGTATTACTAAAATCACTTTGAGACGTGTCATAGCAATTTTTAACGGCGCCACGGAGCCGTCACTCGAGTGCAAAGGGTTAATAGCTTAATAATAAGTTAATAGTTACACAAATTAGCAAGATAAGAAAATTCGCCACTATGCTAAGGATAAATTAGCGCCGATAGGTGTTCGTTCGACTCGACAAGGAACTCTGAACGATTCGAAATGAGAAATACTGTTGAAAGAATAGGAATCCAATGCTCGATTCGTTTTATACCCCTCCCCCCCCCCTTTACATTTACATTTCCCTTCATCCTGAAAGCGAAGTTAAATTAAAAATAACGCGTTCCATTCCGTCTATTATGATTCTGTCACGGTATTTTTCGAATTGATTCGTTCATAGGGTACGAACGACGATGATTGACTAATTGAAGAATACGAATGCGACGAGTTGTAGGCATGTTCGATAATTGTTATATTTAATACGTTCATACCAACGCGACCAGAATGTCTTTTACAACTTCTCTTATATTTGTTCTTCAATTTACTATTTTAGCTTATTTTCTATGATATTATTTTGTCGTAAAACGATGTCGATGTCGTAAAACGTTCGATAGAACGGCATACTTCGATTTAGCGCGATTAGGACACGTGCTAGAGAATAGTATAAATATTTGTACAATCCGACGTTACAATTCGATTAACGTAATCGCCGTGATCTTTTGTAGATACATGTATGCTCAACGAAGAAAATAGAATATTTATGTCTGCCACTGTCCCGATGAAGTTCGTAGCATTTTCATTTATTTTTATGATTTACTTTTTCTTTGTAATTTTATAAACCGATTCCAACGCTTCACCCTCGTTCCAAAATATTTAATGACTCCCTAATTGGCACTATGATTGTGCAGAAAAATGGAAAATTTGGGAATAGGAGATGCGATTAATTTTATAGCTTTTTTATAGTTACTCGTTCGCTCGTTTTCATAGTCGTTGACAATCGGCGACCACAAAAACGAGCCGCGAGGCTCGAATAATCGGCTCCCCCTCTCCCCAAATTGTCCAATGACTCCCTAATTGGTACTATGATTGTGCAGAAAAATGGAAAATTTGGGAAGACGAGAAGCGATTATTTTTATAGTCTTTTTTACAGTTACTCGTTCGCTCGTTTTCATAGTCTTCGATCGCCAACGACTATAAAAATGAGCCGCGAGGCTCGAATAATCGGTCCAACGCTTCGCCCTCGATCCAAAATATTAATGACTCCCTAATTGACACAATGATTGTGTAGCAAAATGGTAAATTTGGGAATAGGAGATGCGATTATTTTTATAGCTATTTTTACAGTTACTCGTTCGCTCGTTTTCATAGTCTTCGATCGCCAACGACTATAAAAACGAGCCGCGAGGCTCGAATAATCGGTCCCTCCCCCCTCTCCCCAAATTGCCCATTTTTCCGCGTCCAATCTAAGCGTCAGTCAGGGAGAATTCGCCGCGCGACTCTCGCGAAGTCGATCGCCGATCTTCGCTCCATTCTTTCGCATATCTTGCGTAATGATAATTAGATTATGTCACCGATCATTTTTGCGATCATTCCGGCGGCCCGGACAGGCGACGGCTGCCATTTATGGAAATGGACAAACCTAACGAGTCCCCGGAAGCACTAACCCGGGCACTCTTCGATTATTATTTTCCCTCGCGGTTTCATTCGTTTTCCGCGAAGTTCCTCGATCGCGCCGCCGCCTTCTTCGCGAAATCGATTAAACGTTGGACAAACAGTAACCAGCCGGCGATTGTTTAATATTCGAACCTCCCCGACGCCTCACCGTTTTGTAATTGACGGTCAATTAACGGCCAGACCGGTTTACCCGTCGAACGGTGCTAATCGGGCAACTAATTCATCGGTCTCGGAAATAACAGTGTCTCATGCAAATTGTTCCTGAATTAATCGGGCCAATTAAAGTAATCAGCCTTTGCGATAGGTTCTCGCTAGATTTACATGCACATCGAATTCAAGGTATTTTTACATACACATAGAATTCAAGGTGTTTTATACATTGTGTGGCGGGGATAAAAAAGAAGTGAATTTTCATGCTCGAGTCATCGCGCGATGAATAAACAAAGCTCGAGAACTAAGGACTGCTGAACTATTTTTAATTGTTCGCTGTTTGTAAAAATTGCTCTTTTTACGTGGCTGGATCTACGTATGTACACACGCATACATAGATCGCGTGGAATTTATAATATCGCATCATTTGTCGAGTAAATACTGTAAATTGTTTAAATCACGATTGTTTCGATGCGAGATGTTATGTACATATTGATTCGAGTACAGGAATTTCTGATCCTTAGGTTATTATCACGTTATTATCTTGATTATTTATATTCTATTTGTTTTTTAGTTTTGAATTGTTATTTGCAATTTTATTTTCAATTTTATTCGAGCCTTGCTGCCTCGTTTTTAGAATTATTAACAATCGGCAGCTATAAAAATAAGCCGCGAGGCTCGAGTTAATTAATAAATAATACTAAATAATACTAGATAAATTATAAATAATACTAAATAAATTTTCGATTTTATTTTGAATTTTATTCGAGCCTTGCAGCCTCGTTTTTAGAATTATTAACAATCGGCAGCTATAAAAATAAGCCGGGAGGCTCGAATGACTCAATAAATAATACTAAATAATACCAAATAAATTATAAAAAAATTATAAATAAATTACAAGGCTCTCCCCAAATGCTCTGCTTTTGTTTACAAGCCGATATTGCGGAAATTAGAGCGACGGTGACGTTTCTTTCTTCTCGGTATAAATAAATCAGCGATTTGATCCACGAGTTTAATAGGCTGATATTAATCAGCGTGACATGTAAACGAGGGAAAAAGAGGCTGTCATATGTTTTATCGGGATTAGCGAATCGATTAACGTCCAACGAAATGAGACAACGTCGATTAAAGAGGAGAATTCGTTAATATAAATCGTGCGCCGAGAATGAAATATTTCGCGTTCGCGTTCGAAGAAGAACTTGCGCGCTGCTGATTTGGAGGATAAGTACATGTACATACATGTATTATGCATATACATGTATATGTACGTATGGCAACGTCGCAGTATAAGGAAAGAAACGAAGGAAAAGATCTCCTGGATGTGTTATGTTATGTGTCTGGCTAAGAATTGGTACACGCACACAACGAAAATGAATCTTCTCGTAGGTTCGTCGGAAACCTCGACGCTTTGTCCTTAAACAGCAGACCACAAATGATCTGTTGCTAATATTCTTCACGCCGGCGATGTAGGACAAGATCTTCTGCACGATATTAACCCAAAGTTCCGAAAGATTCGCATCGAAATCACTGTACGATAATTTCTCCTTCTCGAGGCTCTTTACATAATTGTTTATTATTATTATTATTTGTTACTATTATTATTAATTATTATTATGACTAGTTATTACTATTATTAGTAATTTTTATTATTAGCAGAAGTTATTATTGTTAGTTATTATTATTAGCTATTACTATTATTAAATATTATTAGTAGCAGGTATTATTATTATTAAATATTATTAGTAGCAGTCATTACTATTATTATTAAATATTACTAGTAGCTGTCATTATTATTATTAAATATTACTAGTAGCAGTCATTATTATTATTAAATATTACTAGTAGCAGTCATTATTATTATTAAATATTATTATGATTAGTTATAATTATTATTATTAGTTATTATATTATTATTGGTAGTTAGTATTATCATTAATTATTATTATTATTAAATATTATTAGTATTAATTACCATTAGTGGTAGTTATTACTATCATTATTAACTTAATCTACGAATAATCGTATCTCCACTTCCCAAATTCTCCATTTTCATTTCCAAGGCAGAAGATTAATTAAGAAAAATTTGCACCATTTATAAAGCAGAAATCCGTAAACAATTCAACAATAGAGCAACTGTTGTATTATCAGATAATTATAAAAAAATCTCTGTAAAACTCTGTACGAAACTCGTTAGAATTTGCATAGGAAAAAAATCAGAGTAAACCGTACTCAATTAAAATCGAAAGCGAGATTCAGGGATTTCCGAGCGGCACGATGACTAAGGAATAAATCGATTTCGATTCGCGATCGTTGATAAAATCGCGTGAGTCACGATCATCGATCGTAGTAGATTTCTTCGAGAGAGCAATCCGTGTGTCTCAGCGTGTATAAACTAACGGAGAAGAAGCCGAGACGATGAACGGGAGGAAGGTCCGGCCGTCTTGGCCCTGTCCTTCGAGTGTCGTGAACCACACAGGCGATGAATTGTCCGCCGGTTGGCTTTTCGTACGCGCGCGTCGTCGTTTTCTTCGAAGAAACACAACGAGAAAGAGATATATCGAGTTAGTCATTGGTGGAAAGACGGACACGCGGTCGGAATAACAGATGCCCGACGAGCCATCCTGTTTTTCACGATCATCCGGCTTTCGTGCCATCTTCTTCCCTTCGACCCCGAGGTTGTCCCATGAATTTGATGAAACTGTAACGTGATTCGTCGCACGTATCGTCCGCGCTATTAAAAGTGTCAACCGCGCTCGCTTGCCGAGCGAATCTCACGGTTCTACCGTTAGGCACCGGAAGGTTACCGAAAGGCACTTTTTGATCGTATAGGTTCGGCGTTATTTTTCATAAAGGAGTTAGAGAATAGTTTTTCATCGGTTTGCTGTGTTTGACGAGTATACTCGTCGGGGAGAAGTGGTGGTATTTTGTGTTAAGACGAGTATACTCGTCGTGGCGGTATTTTGTGTAACGACGAATATATTCGTCGTGGAGAAGCGGCGGTATTTTGTGCAATGACGAGTATATTCGTCGTGGCGAAGTGGCTGTATTTTGTGCCATGACGAGTATATTCGTCATAGAGAAGCCGCAGTATTTTGTGCCTCGACGATTATACTCGTATTTGATGTCACGACGAGTATACTCGTCATGGCAAAACGACAGTATTTGGGGCACGACGAGTATACTCGTCATAGCGAAGTGACAATATTTTATATCACGACGAGTATACTCGTCATAACGAAGTGACAATATTTTATATCACGACGAGTATACTCGTCGCACAAAAAAATTAGCTACCACCATCAACTTGAATTGCAATTTCTTCAAAAGCAAAAACATATTCTCAAATTTCAAGATATTTACAATATCTCAAGGCCGATCCTACACAAAGAAGTCCACATTCTTATAAAAATAAGAGACCAGAAAAGAATCGTTTCCACATATTCCTCCGCAAATGCATAAATCCCGGTGATCGACGAGTCGCTGTTCACCGCAGAAAAGAAGAGACTCGGTCGTTAGAACTGAAACAGCCAGTTAACGGAGGCCAGGAAGCGTTCGACGACGTTTGCGGTATACGCGAAGTCGTATTTCACGCGGTTTCGAGAATCCTTGTATCGTGAAACCGAAGGTCGCGGTTTCGCCGCTCAAAAGATTTTTCAGTCGAACCGGGACCTACTCGACGAAAATTATTCACGGTTCCCCATGTTCCACCGTTAAATTCATTTTCATGGACAAACACGGCTCGAGTGTTTATCCTCTGTGTCGCCCCCCCCCCCCGTGCGTCTTCGCCTGGGAATGATTCTTCGTTAAATCGGTGACAAAAAATCGCCTCGTCGAAAAAAGTCCATCGTCGCGGAAACGCGAAACGGTCCCATAAAAATATCCGACAGGTCCCGTGCATGGTGTATTTATGGCAATGTCTCCCTAATTGACGCTCAGATTGCGCACATAAATGGGCAATTTTGGGAGAGGAGAGATACGATTGTTCGAGAGCCTTGTGGCTCGTTTTTTATGGTTACGAATTGGCAACGATTATAAGAACGAGCTGCAAGGCTCGAACAATCGTATCGCCTCTTCCGAAATTGTCCATTTTTGAGCGCGAATTACGGAGAAATTACTGCAGAAGATAGTTACTTAATTGCACTTAGATTTGCACTTAGATTGCGAAGAAATTACTGTAATTGCGCTTAGATTCGTTGATTCCTTTAGATGCAATTTTTAGATGAATTTTTGCATCATGCTACCAGCAGCGGTTCACATTATCACGAAAAACTGAACAATCCGAGCGTCAGTAAGGGAGACATTATCGTACAGTGATGTCTCTCTAATTGACGCTCAGATTGTCTACTAAATTGGGCAGTTTTGGAAGAGGCGATACGATTATTCGAGCCTTGCGGCTCGTTTTTATAATTGTGGACAATTTACAATTATTATTGTTTATTATTATTTATGATTGTACAGTGATGTCTCTCTAATTGACGCTCAGATTGTCCACAAAAATGGTCAATTTTGGAAGAAGAGAGATACGATTTTTCGAGCCTTGTGCCTCGTTTTTTTATTTTCGTGGACAATCTGAGCGTCAATTAGAGAGACATCGCTGTACCTCTTTTATCGCGAGCGCGCGCGCGATCACGCTCCCACGTAGGCACCGAGCACGACGACGAGCATTGAGACGTCAGCGTGGCATGTGTCACAGCGGGAACGATCGCACGCTCAGAATTCAAGATTGGTCCCCGACACGGTGATCTGGTCGCTCCAGAGAAGCGGATAACTTCGCTAACGGACAACAATGACAGCGAGCCGGCCAGAGAGGGGATGCAAGGAACAACTATAAGGACTTGGGGCTGGCCTCTGCTCTATCCACTTGCACGCAAGCCATCGTCCGCGCGACGGCGAACGAAAAAAGCTCCAACGCCGTTTTAAACCGATCGCCGTCAGCCGCCGATTCTCTCGACGATTTCGACCGGTTTTTGAGACCCGACTGACTGTCTTCCGTTCTCGCCCGTCCGGACAGAAAGCATGAAGGGGACCACGGCGTCGGTGTTCGTCCTCGCGACGATTTTTGCTACCGCTTTGGCGCGTGATTTACGTGAGTACCGGTTTTGAATTCACTTTTTGGTCCTGTTCTTGTCCTTCGATTCTTTCGAGCGGCGAGCTGTCCGACGAGCTTGAACGGCCGGGAGGGAGGAAAATTTGTCTTATTAATGTTATTTATTTGTTAATTTATATTATTGAATTTATCTTGGTTTATTAAGGGATTCTTGTGAAAGAGTACTTTTCAATTCTTTAATTTTTGTCTTTGCGGTTGCATTGATCTTTGAAGGGCGCCCAATATTTGTGTATCTTGTCGCTAAATATTTGTAATATATATATATATACTATATTTGTAAATATATACTTATATAATTATATAACTTATATTATATATACTTATATAGTTATATAGCTATATAAATAGCTCTCCTATTATAGTTTATACTAGAATAGTTTTTGTACTATATAGTATAGCTATATATAATTATAATATAGCTTATATTATACATACTAATATAATTATATAGCTTATATTATACATACTTATAAGTACATATAATATAAATATATCAAATAGAAGTATATAATTATATAAGTATATGATTATAAGTATAATAATGTGTTATACTATATAGTAATATTAAGTATAAGTATATAAGCATATAATTATAAGTATAATAATATTATACTATATAATAATATCAAGTGTAATATAAGTATATCAAATAGAACTACACAATTACATATTATATATACTTATATGATTGTATGCTTATATATACTTACAAATTACTTATAAATTACTCGGATCGCCAACAAGTTTATTATTTCACCATAAAAAGAACGCTCTGTTCTCGAGAGATGCACTGGTCTCTGGAACCAAATTATCATGCGTTTTGTTTTGCTCTGTTCGTCCGTCAAGGTTATCACATTTCTCGACTAGTTTCTCGTTCGGTGCATCCCTTTTCAACGTCCCCGTTTAAATGAACATATTACTAACGAAAATACCTCTATCGAACACACACAGCGGAGTTTCTTCACGTTTGCAAGCGGAGCGATCCGAAATTGAGCGACTGCATCAAGGCGAGCGTGGAGAACGTGAAGCCGTACTTGGTGCACGGTGTTCCGGAGTACAAGCTTCCTTCCCTGGAGCCACTGGTGCTGAAAGAATTGGTCTCCGCGTCCGGGAACAATATTAATCTGAAGCTGAGGAACGTGAACGTCTACGGGGCCAGTAATTTCACGGTGACCAAAATGAGGTAATCTCTATGTTATCTGGCGAGTTTCTCGGGTCATCCGAAGCAACTTCTTCCTTTACGAAAATGTTCTCCGAGGCACCGTTAACGAGTTATCAACGAAAAACAGCGACCAATAAGAATCGAGTACGGCTGACGCGAGGCGGCCCAGCCAACCGGCGCGCGAAGCCTAGTTCCTGTCTCTTATACACATCTAGATGTGTATAAGAGACAGCTATATAAGTATATATAATATAAGTTATATAATTATATAACTTATATTATATATACTTATATAGCTGTCTCTTATACACATCTAGATGTGTATAAGAGACAGCTATATAAGTATATATAATATAAGTTATATAATTATATAACTTATATTATATATACTTATATAGCTGTCTCTTATACACATCTAGATGTGTATAAGAGACAGCTATATAAGTATATATAATATAAGTTATATAATTATATAACTTATATTATATATACTTATATAGCTGTCTCTTATACACATCTAGATGTGTATAAGAGACAGCTATATAAGTATATATAATATAAGTTATATAATTATATAACTTATATTATATATACTTATATAGCTGTCTCTTATACACATCTAGATGTGTATAAGAGACAGGGAAAAAAGTTGCTTCGAATGACCCGAGGAACCCGCCACTTTCGGATTGCACGTCGAACACCGATTCTGTTCTAATCTTATTTTTATAGCAATGTGAACACCTTCGTGCAGGATTCGCCTGAAAATATTCTAAAAGTCTTGAAATTTGAGAATATGTTTTTGTTTTCACTGAAATTACTATTTAAATAGTAAATCGTCACTACTTTTTGCGCGTGACGAGTACACTCGTCGTGACACAGCTAACTGATTAATAGCATCGAACACCGGCAATCGTAGTTATATTAATTATATTACTATTATATTATTATTATTATTACTATTAGTCGAAATACAGCCAGCATTGTTTCACCTGCGCGATCCTTAAAACAGATTACACACTTTTTAACGCATCGTTTCCGTGAATTAAGCATCGTTCGCGGGCGTATCCGGTTCTCGATCTCCGTTGAAATTTCAACTCGTTCTCTGCAGTTTAGCCTGTCACGTGATAAATAGGGCTAATTATGCTATTAATAATACTTGAATCCCGTATTTATCGTTTCTTTTTAACGCTCGCCGTCCGGTTTCGCCTGTATTTACAGCCGAGCAGTAAATAAACACATCGAGTTTACTCGAAAGCGAAAACAGATTACTGCAAGAAATTATCGTATTGGCAATTATATCGCGTTGATCGCGCAACTTACGGGGTCCGCGCGACCGCTCCGGAGAGTCTGATGCAGTTTGAACGAAACCGACCCATAAAACATAATTGAACGAACCACCGTGTCCCGCATTAAACGGATAATGACGCGCGGCGACGAGCGATTCATTTTGGAAGCGATGCCGGAACGCTTTGTCTAAATGATAACGATGACGATTCTTGTAGAGATTTAGTGGACAGACAAAATTAATGTATAGTCAGTTTTCTGTGGTATTGTGAACTGCTGGTGATAGCATGATGCAAAAATTTATTTAAAAATTGGATCGGATTATGTGTAATTTCTCCCTAATTCGCGCTCAAAAATGGACAATTTGGGGAGAGGAGACACCATTAATCGAGCCTCGCGGCGAGTTTTTATAGTCGTTGACAATCGGTAACTATAAAAAACGAGCCGCAAGGTTGTTACAATTAATTCTTGCTACTTGATTCTCCCTAGTAAATCTAGTAATAATAATAATTTATTAATATTGTAATATAATAATATGTAGTATAATATATTATAATATAATAATATATAGTATAATATATTATAATATAATAATATATAGTATAATATATTATAATATAATAATATATAGTATAATATATTATAATATAATAATATATAATATAATATATTATAATATAAAAATATATAGTATAATATATTATAACATAATAATATATAATATAATATATTGTAATATACTAATATATAGTATAATATATCATAACATAATAATATACAATATAATGTATTATAATATAATAACATATAATATAATATTATTATCAGTAATTATAGTAACAATAATTCTTGCAACATGACTCTCCCGCATGCAAATTTCTCATGAAAAAACAATAGCATCGCGTGAAAATTCTTCTTCTCGCTTTTATAGTACTTTAGTTTCACTGGTAAATTGTTTGCAATTTACAGTATTTCAAAGAAAACGTCTCCGTGTGTCGACACATCCTCAATTCGCTGTGCATACATGTATTATGCAAATCCAGATTGTCCAACGAGTGTAACAAGTATAATGTACCGGATGATTCGGATTTTCATACCGGTTTCTTGTTTTCACGCTGTCTGATTCACTGCGCGTAGAATGTTTATATTGCAAATGTTTGTTAAACGCTCTGACGTATACCGAATGATCGTCGAATTAACATTAACATGTTAAAAAAAAATACGGCGTGATACACACAATTTTTATCGTTCGGAAAGAAATAATTCGAGAACAGAGTTATTAACTATTAATATATATATATTAGTTATTAATTAATAAATATATATTATTAGTCAGTAAATTCGAACAGAGTTCGAACGTCGAATTAATCACCGAATGGCGAACGTTTTATTGGCTAGTCAAAGTTAGTTTTACAATTGGGTCTTGCACAGTTGGGTCTGTTTTAGGTGAAATATGCAGCGTTAATTTTGCAAAAAAGGCCCGAACATTTGCAGCATGTCGCTTGCAATCGAATAACTTAACAATTTCTTTTTTCTAAGTCCGACGCTGCAGAAGAATATTTCAAACGCTTCTCTCTCTGTGTGTATGTGCGTCTCTGCGCGTGTATGTGAATACTTAAACACTCTCCAGTAATTTATCGCTTTTCCTTTGTGCGCCGCTGTCTAAACGTGCAGGCAGAATTTTATTACATAAAGGATAAATGAATTCCCCTCGTAGAAGTCAACGAACGACATCGTGCTCATAAAACAAATCGCGACGACAGCCGCCTAGATATCCTGTTAGTATTCCTCGATCACGCGAAGTAATGGCCGTGACACGGACTCTTTAAACGCGAGATGGCACGCGCGATACGAGGGCCCCGCGAAGTCGTCGAACGGAAACGACAAATTCTCATGCTGGATCCGCGATTAGACAATGCCTGTGCTCGTCGACTGATTCCCGTCAACGATGCGGCGAAAATCGTCGACTCTCGTTCCAGTTTCGGACGTTTAAATAGCGAGCTCTGTCTAAGGATAGTGCCTGTATTTAGGAGGGTTGATGGACGAGGGGGGTTGGTACCGAAGACATAAGGGAAGTGTAGGCTGTCCGCCATTTTGGTGCGTTAGAGGATGCGACAAGAGTTCAGAAAGAGCGAAATAATTAGAGTAAATTCTCCCTAATTGACGCTATTTATTATTTTAGAAAGAAACACAATTTTTGGGAAATTCTGCTTTGTAGAATTGTATGAAAAAGTTTCTATTTTGCATGAGGGTTAAATATTTTATCATTTTAAGTAAAAAGAAGGAGCTTTGATGAATGTAGTAAATACTTCATAATTGATTCTCCCTGGTAAATCTAGTAATAATAATATTATTATTGTTATTATTACTATAAATAACTATATTATTAGTAGTAGTAATTATAGTAATAATAATAGTAGTAGTAATAGTAGTAGTAGTAGTAATTATAGTAATTATAGTAATTATAACAATATTATTAATAATAATAATAATAATAATAATAATCTCTAGTAAATCCCTACTAATAAATTCTCCCTAGTAAATCCTTCTAATTTGTGACTAATTAGGACTGAAATATTTTAGGAAACATTTAAATACACGTGGAGGGGGGAGGGGGAGGGTGAATCATGTAAATATAGGAAATATTTTGGCCACCATCACTTCTGCTCTGAAGAGCAAGACTCGCTCCACAAAGACCGACAGCAAACGAATTAATTAACGCCCCTTCTTTGTTCGACAGGGCTAACATCGACGCGTTGCGTTTCGTGATCGAATTGGACTTCGCGAGCCTCTCCCTGGAGGGCGAATACGACATCGACGGAAAAGTGATTCTGTTGAGGATTCACGGTTCGGGCCCGATGTCCGGGAACTTCACGAACTGCAAGGGACAGGTGAAGCTGCAGGCCGCGATGACGAAGGGCGAGGACGGCCAGAATTACGTGAAGATAGTCGACTTCAAGACGAGGATCGCGGTCGGGAACGGTCGTCTGCAGCTGGACAACTTGTTCGGCGGCGACCCGACCCTCGGCGAGGCTGTCAACGTAGCAATCAACAGTAACTTCGACGCGTTCATCAAGGAGATACAGCCGTCCATCGAGAGCGCCATCTCGGACACGTTCTTGAAGATCGCGAACGGCATTCTCACGCAGTTCACCTACGAGACGCTTTTCCCGTTATCGTAAACGGGAAATTATCCTTTATACAGCACCGATAGCGATAAATAGACAGGCTGTCCCGAAATTACCGCGTCTCCGGGAAATAGTAGATTCCCGAGGTGATTTGAAGCAACTTTTTCCTTAGCGAAATTGCGATCCGACGCTTCGTTCACGAGTTATCAACGAAAAACGCGGGCCAATGAGAAATCGCGTACGGCCGACGCCACGCCCTCGCGACCACCGCCGCTGCGGTATTGGCCGGCGCGACGCGAGGGCGGAGCGCCGGCCGAGCTCCGAGCTCTCGTTGGACATCGTTTTTCGTCGATAACTCGTAAACGAAGCCTCGGATCGCATTTCCGCAAAGGAAAAAGTTGCTGCAAACCACCTCAGGAACCCCTCGTTTTCCGGAAATGCCATAATATTGCGACACCCTGTACAGAGACAGCTGATTACAAACGAAAGTTCGATTATCGGCATCCTTAGCAATTTTAATGCTCGTTTTTCTTCTTCGCGTCGAATAATGCGTCGCGTGTTATCAATTAGAACGGCCTCCTCTCCTCCTCCAAAAAAAGAAGCAACGAAAATTGTATAACGTCGCGTAGAAAGATACGCGCAATATTTGTATGAGATTGTTAGTAGGAATTAAAATACAATTTTATTACAGATCAGGTATAAAAATTTATTCGCGATACCTATACAATGACATTTTTTTGGACACCCTGTATAGAATCGTTTCGTCTTAATCTCGGAGAGAAATGTGCCGGCGAAACCGCGAGAATCTTTCGAAGCGAGCGGGTGCAATATATTTCGGGACTGGCGTTGTTCTTCGAGGAAACAGAAAACGCGAGGCGATTCGTTGTTACTCTCGATCGGGGAACAGCTCTTCGTAAGTGAAATTCTTGCAGATGTTGTTGGCCAGGTCGAGACATTTCTTCGAGATCGCGCTCTCGATAGCCGGCTTGCAGGTTTCGATGATCTCCTTGTGGCTGCCGCCCAATGCCTGGCCGACTGCCTGCTGCACCGTTTTGTCGAAGTTCCGCGACTCGAACTTCGCGTCGAAATCCTTGATGTCCAGGTTCGTCGTCATCGACGAGAAGTACATGTGTTTCTTGCCCTTATGGTCGACCAATTCGTACAGTATTTGCGTTTTCGCGCCAACGTCCTCTGTAACAGACGAAATTCCAATGTTAGGCGATTACTCTCGGATTCGCCGAGTTTCGGGTCGCCGCGAATTTCCCTGTGCCGGTGCTCCACGCCTATGCGATTTACCGCTGCGACGACGCTGCGGCTCGACGGAAGACAACACGAAATGACAGCGGGAAACGCAAATTACGGTGCCGCGACGGCGCGGCACGGCGTCGATGTGATAATAAGTGCTGTCGAAGAGATCTCAAATACCTGAAATTATATTTAGAACTTAGAAGTTACCTTGACGTCGCCGTTAATAAATTATTCTCTATGTACAGGCTTGGCTAAAAGTCTCGGAACGGAAAGCGACGACGTATTTAAACATTCTATTTAACAGTCGTAAATCTTTTATTATACATTGTCGTAGACGACTGTGAGATCTTTTCGAGACGCTAGATGCTTATGTTTCTTTAATAACAATTATCTGACTCACGACTATTAATTAAGGACTATTAATTTATTTACGACCATTAAATAGAATGTTCGAAGTCTTACTATTCTTGTCCAAAACACTTTCTTGCCACAAATCTTTGTATAAATACAAGCTGTCCCAAAATTATTGTACAAGCGGGGACTGAGGGCTTCCTGAGATCATTTGAAGCAACTTTTTCCTTTACGAAAATCTTCTTCGAGGCTTCGTTCACGAGTTATCAACGAAAAACGCTGACCAATGAGAGATCGCGGGCGGCTGACGTCACGCACTCGCCGACCAGTGTCGCTGCGTCGGACGGCGCAAGGCTGGAGCGCCGACCGCGCTCGCTCTCCGATTGGTCCACGTTTTTCGTCGATAACTCGTGAACGAAGCCGCGGAGAAAATTTTTGTAAAGGAAAAAGTTGCTTCAAATCGTCTCCTGAACCCTTCCTCCTCAAATGAAGATTGTTATCTCCGAAGACAAACGTCGATTCCCGTTAAAAATCTTTCGAAAAATCGAGGTGTCCACCGAACGATGCTTGCCTTCACTTCTTAAGTAAAACTTAGGTAGCTTTCGATTAAACTTTGGAAACGAAGCTTTCGATTAAACTTAGGAGGCGAAGCTTTCGATTAAACTCACTGATAACCAAGTGGATCGGTCCCGTTGCCACGATGGGTATCAAAATTCGCGCGGTCACGTTGTAATCCGCCTCCATTCGGATCTCCCTGAACGTGAGATCCACGTCGAACTGATGCTTCTCCGGGTCGACGTGCAGGGAATTGATGTGATACGTTGGAAGACCGTAGATCTTGATGTTCGTTCCGTACGCCTTGAAATTCGGCAAGTCGGCGAGCTGCACGCGGTCCATTAAAAATGGCTCGGCGGACGGGATGCCCAATTCCGGGTCGCCCACGCGGATCGTGTCCGCTATAGAGTTCACGCTGTCGATTATGCACTGGTCCAGATTAGGGTTCCTGAGGCCGCACACGTGGATATACGAGGCTGGAAACCGAACACTGTGTCANTTGCTTCAAATGATCTCCTGAACCCTTCCTCCTCAAATGAAGATTGTTATCTCCGAAGACAAACGTCGATTCCCGTTAAAAATCTTTCGAAAAATCGAGGTGTCCACCGAACGATGCTTGCCTTCACTTCTTAAGTAAAACTTAGGTAGCTTTCGATTAAACTTTGGAAACGAAGCTTTCGATTAAACTTAGGAGGCGAAGCTTTCGATTAAACTCACTGATAACCAAGTGGATCGGTCCCGTTGCCACGATGGGTATCAAAATTCGCGCGGTCACGTTGTAATCCGCCTCCATTCGGATCTCCCTGAACGTGAGATCCACGTCGAACTGATGCTTCTCCGGGTCGACGTGCAGGGAATTGATGTGATACGTTGGAAGACCGTAGATCTTGATGTTCGTTCCGTACGCCTTGAAATTCGGCAAGTCGGCGAGCTGCACGCGGTCCATTAAAAATGGCTCGGCGGACGGGATGCCCAATTCCGGGTCGCCCACGCGGATCGTGTCCGCTATAGAGTTCACGCTGTCGATTATGCACTGGTCCAGATTAGGGTTCCTGAGGCCGCACACGTGGATATACGAGGCTGGAAACCGAACACTGTGTCAATTATTTTTCCATCGAAAGTTAACTTTGTCAAGAATTTTATGCTGTTCAATGAACGTTCATCGCGAGTACAGAGGTTATTATTAATTATTAAGACTGTATTATATTTAGTATTATTTATTTGTATTCCATGCAATTTATTTTTGCCATAATGCAAAGATCGAATCGTCGTTCGTGTCTCTTTCGTTATTTATTGTTATTATTGTTCGTACGTTTTTGTGGTTGCTGACAATCGGTAACTATAACATATAGATAATAATAATAATAATAATAATTAAAAGAAAATTCAATATATAATAATTGACAATATTAAAGAATAAATACAATAGATACAATCGTATCAAATTATTCATTTTTGGGCGCAATCTGGGCGCGAATTACGGAGAAATTATTGCACTCGGTAAGTAATTGATTCTCCCTAAATTTCCCTCAGCTTGAGAACAAAAAACGGACAATTTGGCAAGAGGAGGTACGATTATTCGAGCTTCTATTGTTGTTAAAAATCGGTAAGTATAAAAACCAACTCCTCTTCCCAAATGTTCTGCGCATTTTTGTGCGCGATCCGAGAACGCGAATTAGGAAAAATCTGCTCTGATTGCAATCGGTAAATTTCCACCCTTTTATCCTAGATCCGATAATGTTTCCCCACCGCAAAAAAAACAATCTCGGGCAACTGTTGCAAATTTTACTCACGAAATTCAGCACTCGCGTAACCCGCGACTGCCGCGACGAACAATAACACCTTCAGGGACATTATCGACCGGCACTGGTTCCCGTTGCAGAATGACTGACTTTTCCTTTAGACGGAAGCTTCTATGCGGAAACTTTGATTCTCCTGCACGAGATCGTGACTGATCCTCGTGTATCCGGAGTGCTTGTATATATAGCATCGAGGATAACACATGCGTTGCAGCGAGAGAGCAATATTGAATCACTCGAGTCCATGGCCGTGATCGCAGGATGCATCTCTTTATTCCGATCATCGATATCCCCCCTCTTGCAGGTCGCCGTCGGTTCTTCGGAGTAGGGGAATCTTCGCAGGATTCGATCGAAATGTCAGATTGATTAAATATTTAACGAGCTCCTCTGACGTACCAGGAATTTAATCGAATTATTGCTAAGCGAATTATTCGAACCGAATTGATCTTATATATTGGTTCATAATTGGATAATAATTAATAATTAGTTTTATGATTAATTGATATTAATATTAGTTGATAATATTATTAACAATAGTATTATTATTATTTATTAATTTATGATATTATTAACAACAGTATTATTATTATTTATTAATTTATAATATTATTACAATAGTATGGTATTATTATTTATAATATTATTAACAATAGTTTCCGTTGTTTGGATATTCTTCGCTTTATAACGCTGCTAATTTGCTTAAACAATGTTCAACTTCGGGGCTTGCGTGCTATTTTCTTTAGTTAAAGAATATAAAAAAAAGAATGATATAGTAAATTCTCCCTAATTTTCCTTCAGCTTGCAAAAGAAAAATGGACAATTTGGGGCGAGGAGACTCGACTATTTGCACCTCGTTTTTATGACTGTAACTATAAAATCTTAGATATTTTATAATTTGATTCGTATACGTCGTTAACGAATGATTCGACAATTTTCTAGAAAAATATCCTTGGCGTAGTTTTAATTATTGAAAATGAAGAAAGAGGAAGCTTCTATTATTTCGACAGAACAAGTTTGAAACTAATTTGATCGACCGCGCCGGTAATTACGATTGAAGAAGAACCGTCCGGATGATTCACGATTAACAAGCTTGTAAATAATTAGTCGGCTCACAGATTTATGTCGACTCGGTGGACTCACGGCGGAGTCGCGGAAAAATAAATGTCACGGACATGTTAACTGCATTTTCTGTGACAAAAAATCGCTCGGAGAATTAAGTTGATAAATATCAGTATTTAATTCTTTTTTTTCTTTGTTATATTTATAATTTCTTTTTTTAGTCGTCGTTTATCGACTCAAAAAGTATTAATTATTCTATATATACGTATCATCGAGTATTAACGATTATTAATATCAATTATGATTAGTAATTGTTATTTAAGCGATCTTAAAAAAAGTTATCACCTTTTAAAAGCATACTTATTGCGCGCAAATTGGTTGATTATACACGCACGTGTTTAAAAATATTTCTGCCGTTTGCTTCAAACAATTCCACATCATGCACTGTCAACGTTGAGTCATTACGACTTTATATTACACTGTTATTCCTTGCACTTGTTATGCAATGAACTTACAGATTGTTGAATATTCCTAGTTTTTTCGCCGATTGTCGTCGACTGTAAGAAACGAGACGCGAGGCACGAATAATCGTATCTCCTATTCCCAAATTGTCCACTTTTTGTGTACAAGATAAAGGGGACAATTGAAGAGACTTTATTGCATTCAGTATTAAAACAACTATTAAAACGTTAACTATAGTTTTAACCCTTCGCCCTCAAAGTGATATTTCCTTTTAATTATTATTATTATTATTTTTCATACTGTAAGGTTATTATGTGAGATATACAAATAAGGGAATAGAATCTTTTATTTAGATATTTTTACAATATTTCACAGCAGTATAGTGATTTTCATTTCCGATTCGACTGTATCAAGATCTCGAAATTCTTGAAAATCTCTCACAATGCAT